AGAAGCTGATGCTCGGCGGCTCCTTGCCTCTACCCATGAGAAACAGCTGGCCCAAGCTCGGGAAGAAGCTGAGAAGAAGCAGAATGACTTGCCTGCTGCCAACCAAAAGCAGAAGGATGATCTGGTAGCTCAGAGCACCGAGCTAGAGACTCAGAAGACTGAGCTGCGGAACACCCAGGAGCTGCTCAAAACCCGAGTTTACACATAAGCTGAATATGCTGAAGGGTTTGAGAATGGCTGGAAGACAGCTCGGTGCTTAGCTCTACATGCTGCCCCTGATCTTAACTGGGACCAGGTTGAGGCTTGGTCGATGGATCCTGACAATCCTCGAATGAACGAGGCTAGTCAGGCTGAGATAGACTTCCTGGTTCGACAAGCCGAAGCCGAAGCCAAAGAAGCTGAGGAAGCTGCTAAGGAAGCTGAAGCTGCTGGTCCTGCCTCTTCTTCAGCTGTGGTTGGTCCATCTGGAGTTCCAGAGAATGCTGAAGCATAGGAACTCGGGCAGTCGTCTTCTGAATCTTGCGGATCAACATGCGCTTAACTTGTAAACGCCGCATCAGCTTTTGCCTGTTCTCTTTTGTTTCAGCCTACCTATGTACAAACTTATAATTTGTTTTTGTGTACTTTCGACAGCTGTGTTTTCCGCTATGTGGGCGGCTGCCGACTTTGAATTTTCTGTTTAAACATTCTGAACTTGGTATCTGTAGTTCTTTACTCAACACTTGTAATTTTTAACTTTTCTGAGTAGATGAAGTAGAATTTCAGTTGTTTCCTCTTACTTCACCTGTTTTTATAGCTTTTAACTTAATTGCTTTTTCTTGAATTTCTTCGAAATTTAGCTAAGTACAGAGCTTCGGCCTGAAACTCTTTAGTTGATAATTCCCTTTATCTCTTTATGCCTTTCCCCTTTCACTTGGCTTTCTTACAAAAAAATTTCCAAGTACTAAGCACTTCGACTTGGAGCTCGGTATGCGAGTACCTTCTGCCCCCCCCCAGGACTTTGAAGATGATGTCTTTAGAGTTCTGAGTGCTATTTCCCTTGACTTTTCGGGTGTAGCTGAAGGTTTGTTACAGTTCACACATTTATGTTTATTCCTTATATTTTTCCTGGTTTTAATTCATCCGAGGGAACGACTATCTTGGACACAATGACAGGGCAGCAATCATCTGAAGTACAAGGCATCATTGTGCAATACTTCAGAGGTGCAATCGCCACCCAGAATTGATTCGCCGAAGCACAGGGCATCACTATGCAATGCTTCGGATGTTTCATCAATTCCTATTTTCGGCTATGTCTTAGATAAGCTATTACCTCTTCGCCGAGAGTAACAAATCTGTCCAAGGTACAGTGCATCACTATGCAATACCCCGAGGTTCTATTTGTTACCCCCATATCGGCAGGTTCCTCGGCTTGCCGAAGTACAGTGCATCATAATGCAATACTTCGGACAGCACCGGGTGTAAACTTTGAATTTTTTCAAAAAATGGCAAAGACAGAAATGTTAAAAGCAAAGTATTAAAATTATGAATAACTGTGGCTCAAAGGCCTTTCATTGATCTGAAGAAGATGTACTTACACAGATTTTTCTCCCGTGTTGGGGGTTTTACACATGAAATTTCCTAAGTACATCTGCGTTCCAGTGGTTTTTCAATTCAGTTCCATCTAGCTGCCAAAGCCGATAAATTCCTGGTTGGAGCTCATCATATATTTCATAAGGCCCTTCCCAATTAGCTGAGAGATTTCCATGGATGCGGCTTTTCTGAACAGCGGCAGCATTTCGAAGAACGAGGTCCCCAACCTTGAGGAGTCTTGACTGGACTCTTTGGTTGTAGAACTTGCTGATTCTCTGTTTGTATGCTGCCATTCTATCCCTTGCCGAATCTCGGATCTCGTCTAAGAAATCGAGGGACTCTTTCATGAGATGCTCGTTTCCTTCGGCTGAGAACTGATTGACTCTAAGGCTTTCTGAGCCAATTTCCACTGGCAAAACGGCTTCGGATCCATACACCAATTCAAAAGGTGAATGCCTCGTAGCCTCTTTTTCAGTTGTCCGAAGTGACCATAGAGTTCCGGGAAGTTCCTCTATCCACTTGGACTTTTGTTCTTCAACTCTCTTTTTGAGAGCATTGAGTATCTGTTTATTTGCAGCTTCGGACTGGCCATTACTTTGAGGATGGCAGACTGCCGAATATGCCATTTTTATGCCGAATTGATCTGTGTACCGCCTCAACAGCAGATTGTCAAATTGTCTTCCATGATCGAAGACAAACACTTTCGGAATGCCGAAGCGCGTGATGATATTCTGCCAAATAAATTTTCTAACAGTTTGCTCAGTTATGTTTGAAGCTGCTTCGGCTTCTATCCATTTGCTGAAGTAGTTGATTCCGACTATCAACCATTTTTTCTGATAGGGGGCCTCAGGAAACAGTCCTAGAGTATCCAACCCCCATTGAGATTCAGGATCGGCTGAAGGTCCCACGAAGGCTGATGGATAACCGGTGCGAATTTTTTTGCATTTTTCACACTTCCGCACCAAGTCCTTGGCATCTTGGATCATGGTTGGCCAATAATATCCTGCCCATAATGCTTTATGGGCTAGGGTCCTTCCCCCTATGTGGTTTCCACAGATGCCGAAATGGATCTCCCGAAGGATATAATCCGCATCTGTTGGACCCACATATTTCAGCAATGGGGCTGAGAAGGATTTTTTCAGCAGCTCTCCACTGTAGATAATGAACCTTGAGCCAACCCTTTTCATTTTTGCGGCTAGGTTCCTATCCTCAGGAAGCGTTCCTTGAAGCTTATAAGCCAAGATGGGGTCCATCCAGCTGGGTTCAGCTTCGGCGCATTGGACCTCAATTTCTTGGTCAATGCTTCTGTTTCGGTGCACCTCCACATATACGAATTCGATTCAGCTCGGTAAGAGTTGAACTTGCAAGTTTGGATAGTGCATCGGCTTGAGCATTTTGACCCCTTGGGATCAGCTCAATTTCAAAAGTTCTCAACTTTGCTATGATTGATTTGATCTTGGCAAGATAAGAGATCATGGAGGGCTCCTTGGCCTCATACTCGCCCCGAATCCGATTAGCGACCAGCTGAGAGTCTGTTTTCGAACAGACATGCTCAGCTTCGAGAGCTATGCACAGTTCTAAGCCAGCAACTGTTGCTTCGTATTCTGCTTCATTGTTAGAAGCTTTGAATGAAAATTTGAGTGCATACTCGAAGTTTCTGCCTTCGGGAGAGGTGATTACCACCCCAGCTCCCGAACCATTTACGGTGGCTGAGCCAACCGTAAACACAGTCCAAGTCCCCTTCCCTTCGTCGAGGGTTTCCTGGTAGGAACATTCAGCCAGGAAGTCTGCTAGGGCTTGGGCCTTGATTGCTGCCCTCGGCTGGTAGTTTATGCTGAACTCAGTGAGCTCGAAAGCCTACTTTGTTAGTCTTCCTGATTTCTCAACCTTGCCGAGGACTTTTTCCAGCAGTTGATCTGTTAAGACCACTATTTGATGTGAGTCAAAATAAGGCCTTAACTTCCGAGCTGCCACTACCACTGTATATGCAACTTTTTCGAGCAGGGGGTAGCGTGTTTCGGCATCAGTCAAAGTACGACTGACGAAATAGATCGGTTGCTGAACCCTTTCTTCTTCCCTCAGCAGCACCGCAGTCACTGTAGCAGGGCTAACTGCCATATACAATTACAGGACTTCTCCTTCGGCTGATCTTGCCAGTGTCGGGAGGTTAGCCAAGTGCTCTCGGAGCTGCTGGAAAGCTACTTTTTGCTCATCTTCCCACATGAGCTCCTTAGACTTCGGAAACTTCAGCGCTTTGAAGAAAGGCAGCCCTTTGTCCAAGGCTTTTGAGATGAACCTGGATAAGGCAGCCATCCTCCCAGTAAGACGCTGAATGTCCCTTTTTGTCTTCGGCTCGGGAAGATCAAGTGCTGCTTGAACTTTGGCGGGATTGGCATCAATCCCCCTCTTGCTGACCATGAAGCCTAGGAATTTCCCAGACCTCACGCCGAAGACACATTTCTTTGGATTCAGCTTCATTTGGTGTTTTCTCAGAGTGGAGAACGTTTCGGCTAGGTCTGCAATATGGTCTTTCGCCTCTTTGCTTTTGACCATGGAATCGTCAACATAGACTTCCATGTTGCGGCCTTTTTGCTCAGCAAACACTTGGTCCACCAGCCTCTGATATGTAGCCCCGGCATTCTTGAGGCCGAAGGGCATCATTTTATAGTTGTACACCTCGGCGCTTGTAACAAATGCCGTTTTTGCTCTGTCATCGGGGTGCATGAAAATATGATGGTACCTAGAAAATGCGTCCATGAAACTGAGCAGAGCATGGTCGCTTGTCGAGTCGACCAGCTGATCGATTCTTGGCAAGGGGTGAAAGTCCTTCGGACAGGCCCTATTCAGGTCCGTGAAGTCAACGCACATTCTCCAGGTGCCATTAGCTTTCTGAACCATTACTACATTCGCCAGCCATTCAGGGTATTGACAAGGTTCAATGAACCCTGCGTCCAGAAGTTTCTTGACTTCGGCTGCGATGTCCTGGTTCTTCTGAGCGGAGTAATTCCGCTTCTTTTGCTTAACTGGTCGACACGTGAGGTCGACATTAAGCTTGTGCGAGATGAGGTTCGGATCAATTCCCGGCATGTCAGCTGCTGAGAATGCGAACACATCCCTGTTGTCCCGAAGGAGTTGGATTAATTCAACGCGGAGGTTCGGATCGAGCCCTTGTCCGATGCTGACACATTTTCAGTATCTCCCTCGGTCAACTGTATTGATTCAGTTTGCTCATCTGACTCCATTGCTTTGAAGCCGGTCTCTTCTGGTTCAGGTCTACTGTCAATATCAGCAGACTTTCCTTTCTTCGGCTGGTCTTCGTCCGAATCTTTCGGTCCAGCCGAAGAGCTTGCCTTTCCAGTCCCCAAAGATGCTTTCTTTTTCGGGGACCCTTGAGCCGAAGCACTTAGGCCCTTCGACCTTTTAGTACCTCACTCCTTTTCTTTCTCTTTTTCCTCCTCATCATCCTTGTCGCTGCGGCGACTCTTGGATGGCTTGAGGAAGTTACATTCTCGGGCCTCTCTTTGGCTGCCCAATATTTTTTCGGAGCGTCCCTCCTCTAAAACATAGATCATGGCTTGATGGTATGTCGAGACAACTCCTTGAACATCATGGATGAAGGGTCTCCCCATAATGACGTTATATACTAATGGGGCATCAATGACCAAGAATTCGGCCATGATGCTTCGTCTTGCCCAGTCTTGGCCAAGACTGACGGGAAGAAGAATTTTCCCATCTGGATATGAAGAAGATCCGTTGATTCTAGTGACCGGATAAGGAACTGGGGTCAAATGCCTGCTCTCCAACTTCAGCTGGTCGAATGCCTTTCGAAAAAGTATATTCGCCCTGCTGCCACCGTCTACCAGTGTCCGATAGACGTTATGGTTTGCGATGCTTGTCATGATAACCAGGAGGTCATCATGGGGATACACAACCCCCCTGCAATCTTCGGATGTGAACATCATGTTCGGCACCGGAGACTGCGGTTTCTGGAACTGGGCATGATGGATCTGATGGGTGAGACCCCTCAGATGACGCTTCAGTGCATTTCGAGAAATACCTCCGAAAATGGTCAGGATGTCATTATTCCCTCCCTCGGGAGATCTGTCCCTTTTTCGGTGGTAGTCCAGGTCCTGCCGAGAATCTTTCTCAGCTTTCTTTTCTTCGCGGCGTTCCGCGACATATTTCTTTAAATATCCTTTTTGGACCAGCTCTTCGATCTGGTCCTTCAGCTGAAGGCAGTCCTCGGTGCGGTGTCCACGAGATTCATGGAACGCTTCGGCGAGAAACATTGTGGCTGTCATGAGGATCCTCGGAGTTCCGAGCTTTGGAGTTTTCAAAGTGACCTGAGCCCCTTCTCTGCTCCTGCCCGGACCCACCTGGATGCTCAGCCCTTCGGCTACCTTCCCCTTTCGAGGACGGAGCCTGCCTCTCTCCCTCGGTTCCACTTTTTCTCTTCCGATCATGCGATTTAGGAGGGGGAGAGGGTGATTTTTTCGTTGATGGGAAGCGTCCTCCCAAGGCATTCATAAAGTCCATGCATACAGTCATGGCCTTCATGACCTCTTCGGTCGACGGACCGGTAGGAGGAATTGAGCGCATGCTAGGTGAAGGATCACGCTTATGAGCCTCACTATTCCTCGGTGAATTCCCATTTTGGTAATCCCATTGGGAGGGAGATCCCTCACGCATATTTTCTCCCCTCGGGGAGTTAGAAGCAATTGGTTCAAGCGACGGCGAAGGTGTTCTACCGGCCTTACCATTATTAGGCCCATCTTCCTAGCTTTTTTAGAGCTCTTTGCACTCTTAGTCATTTTTTGTATCGGCTAAGATTGGTATGAGATTTTTGGCTGAATTTTTGTAAGCTTCCCCACAGACGGCGCCAAATTGTTTCGGTCAGGAAACAATGGACCTTCAGAAGGTCCTTCGGATGAGTGGAGATGAAGCCCAATTCGAGTGATGACCGAATTGAGGATTTCTTGCACAGCTAAACACACGTAAACTGGCCTCGGGGTTTTGCCGAGGAAGGCCCCTCCAATTTTGAAGTCGGTACGGATATAGGATAATGAGAGAAAAGCTATGCAAGAGAGTTTGTCGCTTGAGGCATTTAATGTGAATGGATGTAAATGTACAAAAATGTGAGCTTTTATACCTTATTCCAATTAAATGGATTGGGCTTGAGGAGTCAAATGGGCTGCCATTTGACTGAGCCTTGCTTTACCTGACTTGGCTTAGTGGATTGAGGGTTGAACCTTGCCATTTGGGCTTTAATTATTTTCATTGTGGGCTGGGCTCAAATACAAGCTATTTGGACCTCAAACAACAATTTTTCCTAATTTTTTTGATTAATTTCATAATTGTGTTAAATTGATAGAGTAGTTATATTTTGTGATTGTTAAATTTAGTTTGATTGTTGAATTGTAGTATGTATAATCGATTAGTTGTCTTAGATTACTGCTTTCTAGGTTTTGATTTTCCCTCTTTTGCTCTATCAATCAAATCTCTCCAAATAGATGCTAAATTGATTTTAAATTTCACTCTAGCTATTTGAAGTCGTCACATTGCTAGTACAAGCATGGTTATCCAAAAGCTACCTAATTTGAAAGCCTAGTACTTCCGGTACTCAAATGTCTCCCACTGAGCTATACTACATGATTAAAATAAAATAAAAAATGTTGGATGATAATCAAGGTCTCGTTTTCCAGGAGAAATCGTTTGGTGCTTCAATGTATCTATAACACTTTATCAATGTATTTATAATGTATCTTAACTGATTAGTTGATGTATCTACATGCATTTTTAATGTATCCATAACTAAAAGGAATTGATTCACGTGCAATGTATTTTCAATGTTTGGACTTTTAAAAAAAAGAAAGAAAAATTGTATCTATAATGTCTAGATTTTAATGTATCTAAACCAATTTTTAAATGTATATCTATAAAATTTAACTAATTTATATACAAAATATATTCAATGTATCTACACTGTCTTTTAAATGTATAAATAGTGTTTAGTTGATGTATCTACAATGCATTTTTAATGTAACTGATCTTCTCACGCTTTTCAGTTTTCACCATAGGAGCACTTTTTTTCCGAATCCCAACCTTATATATAACTGGGTTACCGTGAGAATTAGCCGTATAATAGAAACTAAGAACTCATTACAACCATTGGATTAAAAGCAATCTCTTCGAAAACGTTTGAACGTCATTTTCTCTCTCCTCAAGCAGTTTCTCTCTCCACATTTCTTCTCTCTCCTCACGCCATTTTCGCCTGCAACTGCCATTAAATTTCCATTCTGATTGTTTCAAATCTTCAATTGAGTATATAAATCATTAAATTTCATACGTTTTGAGAGAAATAACTCGAAAAAATTTCTAAAAATCATGAACTATTTGAATATTTTAATTAGTATGAAATATATAATGCTATTATAATTTTAGAAGATTATTGTTTGAACTGTTTGTTTATGCAAATTACTAACTCGTTTTGGTGTTTTCAGGTTAAATTTCATTAAAATTAAACGTTTTCGAAGTGAAGGTTGCGCGAAATTGGAAGTGTTTGAAGTTGAAATAAGCGAAATTGGAAGTGGTTGAAGTTGAATGAGATAAGCGAAATCAAGTAATATGTCCGAACTTTTCTATAATTTTGTTCATTATTATTTGCTGCTTTTTTTTAATTTTTTTTTTGTGTAAATTAGACTGGATTTGCTGCTAATTACATTTGGAATGTTTTGATAATTTTGTGTATGAATCTGTGCGAATTCTTTTGTTGAATTAAAACAAAGTGTGGACTTATAGTTGATTTAGTTGTGATAATTTTGTGTATGAATTTGTGCATATATGAATTTCAAATGTAGATAAAAACTAAGTAAAAGTAAATCAATTATATTTTAAAGTTAATCAAAAGACTAAAATCATCATATTGTTAGAGAACAATATGATTACAGGAAAGTTGCCACCAACTATGGGCTATCTAAGTGCATTGTATGATAAATTAATACAATGCAGGGATCAAAGGGAAGTTGTCAGATTGGTTAGCTGGGGCAGGGATCAAAGGGGAGTTGCCATATTGTTTTAGCTTAGACAGTAAACTCGATTTATCGTATAATCTACTGGGTTAAAGAACATACCAGATTGGTTGTTTTATTATTATAACTTACAAGATCTTAAGTTAGCTGGGGCAGGGATCAAAGGGGAGTTGCCACAATCAACGTCTTCCTCTGTATATTACCATCAGTCACCTCAATTTATCCAAGTAACGAAATCACAGGGAAGTTGCCAGTATGGTTAGGGAATATGAGTAATCTAGAGTCTCAACTTATCCAATAACAGATTTTACTCCACAATTCCAAAGGAGCTCACAAATATTTTCCTGTAATCAATTACTTGTATAATTTGGTGACTAAAATGTGTTAAAAGTAAATTAAAATTGTGCAAATGTAAATTAAATCACTTTATAAGTAAACAATTTCTTGGTAGAGATTGGTGAATGTCAGAAGCTAATGATTTTTGCAGCCTCCAACAATATGTCAATATGCTTTAAGGAAAGTACCTGCATCAATTGTTGGTAAGCTTTATTATTTGCATGGTCTTATGGCACAAAATTATTGTAAAATCAGCAATATGTCTGGTGTTCAATCTATATTGTCTGTTGATGCTTTAATTTATATATACCTTTGGATTGTATTCTAGTGTGTGAGCAGGCATGCTTTAATGTTAATTGTGTTTGCACTTATTTGAGGTTCATTACTTATTGTTGGATAGGATTTTTCCTACATATGCTCAGATAGCATGATTTGAGGTTTACCGACTTTGTTCACTCGATATGTATATGTCTATATATGCTTAGATAGCATGATTAGAGAATAATTTGTGTGATAAATGTACTGATATTTCTATGCTTCCAGCACCAAAATCAGAAGCTTCCTCGATAGAATCTTAAGACAAAAAAACAACTCCATCAAGTAATTTTTCAACAGATGGAACCATTACTTTATTCTCTAGAGTCTAGAGATGCAGTGGGTGCTTAAACATCCTCTTGAATGGGTTCTAACTTCTAAGCCTTTTGCCTTATGAGCAGGTGCAAGTATATCAGAACTAGAATCTCCAAGAAAAGTTTATTGCTCTTGCAGCTCAGAGATGTAGGCCATGGTAGTTTCGAAACAGGTTCACTAGACAATGAGACAGAGTAAAGCTTCCATACATTCTTGCCTCCAGCTCTGCATTTCAACATCACGCTAGGAATCTTCAAATTTAAAGACGATAGGAAGCAATATTGGGACTATCTTCTATATAGGTAAAAACTCAAAAGTAAACCAATATATCTTACAAGTAAATCATAATAGATCAAAAAGGTGAGTACATGATCTAATTTTTCTATAGGAATCTTTCGACCAAAAAGTGTGTTAAAACCTATTAGCTCAAGTGGTAGAGCTCTATGCGGATGCATAGAGGTGTAGGTTCGATTCCTACATAGGTTATCTCTTAAAATAAATATAAAACTCTAAACCTGTAAAGTTATACGAAATACCTCGAAAGTAAATTAAAATAACGAAAAAGTAAATCAAATCAACTCTAATATATACACTCAAATTAAGTCTAATGTATAAAAGCACACTAAAGTAACTGAAAATTTCTCAAAAGTAAATCAAAATAATTATAAAGTAAATCAAATTAGCTTAAAAAAATCAAAATTCAAAACCAGTGTTCTTCCAAAGTACCATTACATAGCATTTCATAGTAAGAAAGAGTAAGAAAAACTTGTTACACATGACCTCTTACATCGTACTTTGAAGTCATCCTCTAATATATCTCAAAAGTAGATAAAAAATACTAAAAAGTTAATCGAAATATTCTAAAAGTAAATAAAAAATCTCAAAAGTTTGGTAAATAAAAAAAAAAATTTAATGATTCAACAAAAGTTGGGTAAATAAAAAAATCTCAAAAGTTGAGTAAATAAAAATACTTCAAAAGTAAATGCAGCAACTCCCTGTACTTGGAAGCAGCTTCCTGTAACCTGGCAGTATCTTTGGTTTGTGCAGTAGCACCAATGCTTAGCACGGTAGCAGTAATTTTGTATTCATATAAATATCCTAGTCGGTTCAAGTCATAACCGGGTTACCTAACTAATTAAGGGTTAAGGTCTGGCTGTTTCGGGTTGGGTCAGCTTTGCCAAGTCATAGATATGAACGACTTGACTGAAACTAGTAGATGGCTGGGTTCCATGCTGAAAATTTGTCAAATGAATGCAGTGCATGCTTAGGGGGGGTATTAAGGCTTGTAAGACATC